GTCTTAAACACAAGACTTCAGATTATTAAACTGTGTTCCTTAGTTCCAGTCTCTCCTAGAAGGTGAAACACCCTGTCAGCATCGACCCTATCACATTCCCTGAAGGTATTTAAATTAGATCACCTCTCATTCTTTAGAACTTCAATGGGTTCCTTTCTTTAATATAAGCCCCTCATGCAAGTAATGAGTTCAGTAAACTTTCTATAAACTGCTTCTAAGGTAATTATATTCTTTTTCAAATATGGAGACCAAAATTGTCCACCATACTCCAGGTGTGATCTCACTTCAACCATGTGCAGTTCTAGTTCAGGAAGGTGACTCACTACCACCTTCTCAAATGCAATTAAGGATGAGCAATAAATGCTAGCTTTGCCAGCAATGCATGAAACATTACCAAAAAGATTGGTATACATCCAGTTTTTTAGAACCCCTGCCATTCAGTTTATGTTGCCTATCCTCATTAATCCTAACTGAATGGATCATTTTGCATTTTTTGTATTACATTTTATTTGCCACATGTCTGTGGACCTAGCCAATTTGTCTATGCCTTCCTAAATTCTGATATTACCCTGTTTGCTTTTACTACATTTGAGGTTTGTATCATCCAAAAATTTTGAAATTGTGCTTTTTATAATGACATCCAGGTCTTGAAAATCTACAAAGAAAGGATAGTAATCCCAATACTGACCCTCGGAGTCACCATTGTATAGTTCTCCGCAGTTTGAAAAATAATCATTCACGGTTACTTTCTACTTTGTCAATTTTGTATCTATTTTCACTTACCATAGTTAGCAAATGTTAAGTTGCCACTACCAGTAATCATTTTTTCCCTTTCATTTGTAAACAGAAATATTATTTCAATTAAAAAAAGGTCTGTGTGTATATATATGTGGAGAATAATAGAGAATTAATGAACACAAGATTGGAATCATGTTACTCTACTTGCTTTGCTTTTCCACTGTAAACTTTTATCTTTGTTCCTGAAAGTGCTGGAATTCAATTTCAGAGTCAAAAATTTTTTGGTGCTCTTTCCAAATGATCATTCTTTATAAAAAAAAACCTAGATAATATTATTAGGCTATTTAACTGTGGAAATGGGTTGGCTGTAATGCATCATAAATAAATCAAGCAAAAGAAATCATAAGATGATCCAAGGAAAATAAATCTATTTTGCCAATGTCGTGTGCAGAATAACAACAACTGTTAACTATAATTAGTCGTAATAGATTAATGATGTTCTACCCAAGGGATAAAACTATCTTCCAAATATTGTAACTGTCAAATCAAGTATCACCACCTATTTATTTATAAGTTAAAGTATTTCTCCACTCCATGTGAAGGGATTAAAAATTAGTAACACTTTACTAAAAATACGAATCAAAGTGGTTAGGATTTCTGCAGAAATATTCAAATCTTCAAAGAAAAATCTCTACAAACCAAATGATTTCATAAATCACACTAGCTTTCACATAGGATTAACATATTGTTAAACATGCTAACCTTTCAGTTCCAGGATCTAAGATGAATTATAATCAGCTGACTTGAATGTCTCTTCTTTTTGCTACCTAAAAGAAATAAGTCCCTGATATATTCAGCTTCAGAGCACAAAACTCCAAGAAATAACCACAAAATGCTTTAATGAAACAAGAGGGTACTTAGTGCAGGAAGGGCTCACACTGGAAGAGTAGCAGGTCTTTTTCTGAAGTGGGGTTAAAACACATTGTGAGACAATGAAGGTGAAGTTTTAAATTCAGCTTCCTCTTGCAACATTACTCTATTCTAACAATACACACAGATGGCTAAAAATACTTAATCTCTGGATACTTTGCTCACACTTGTAATGCAAAAATCAGGATTTCAACATTAAAAAAATCTACTGGAAATTTGATGCTAGTCTAACGGTTAATCGCATGTATTGATAATTAGGGAAATACACAATAAAACGGTTTTTTTAAACCTACACAACATTCACTAGTAAACTTTGTGAATATATGAATATTCACATAGCTGGTGGCTAAAGTAATTGCAATTCATAATTTTGAGCGATTCATTCCTTTACATTCTAACTTCTGTCTGCCCAATTTTTGTCCCTTTAAATGTTGAATACTTGTGTATTAATTTATATTCTGGCCTAGAAAAGATAACCCGCTACAAAACCTAGCTTTGAAGAAAAGCAAACTACACTACATTTAGAGATTTTTGTCCGAAATATGTACACTACTGAAAATTACATTTCTTGACAACAAGGTGGTGACCATAAAATTAGTTTGCCATTTACATTCTTGCTGTTAGAAGTTTTGAATAAAGAGGCTCATTTAATATTGGACAAATTTTTTTTGCTTCCAGCAGTTTTTGTTTAATGAAACTGCACAATGTTTGGTAATAAATAATACAACCTTTTTCTTTTACTATGCAGTTACTAACTGTGAAAGAAACATGTCAGGCACACCAGGATAATTCATTTCATTTTGCAATTGACAATGAGTCAAGAAGTTAGCCTTATGGTAAGTTTGACACTATGAGCTGTGGAAACCTGGAATCATAGGTTCTTCAATATTCTGCAGAATTGAACTGCAGCAATCCCTTTTCTTTGGTGGGTTTTTTTAAAAAACGGATCAACTGCTTGAAAGCTAAATGAACAGAAAACATGTGTCAAGGTGGTGTAATCTATGAAAACATTGGGAGAGCAAGCAAGTGGGAGTCTATAATACAAGGTGGTACAGCTTGCTATAGGATTGTGGAAAGATCCTGATTGCAGGTGGGTCCCAATTATAGGGGAAGAGTCAGAACATAGTCTTGAGAATTCCAATTGTCTGTAGGGGGATGGCAAAAGTAATGCTAAAAAATGTACTCAATGAAGGATTTCAGTTCTCTTTGATCTGTCTGCCTGTAATATATTTAAGATGATAATGACTGTTAATCTGAAGGCACATGGCCCTATTATAATATTAAAATGACCAACCTATTTCCCATGAGCTGGATCACTGCTAGCCTTTCATTTCATCCCTGTTAAAACAGGGAATGGGAAGGTTTGAAGCAGGTTCATTTCCTGTTTGGAGGTTTGAACACCCTGTTCAGAAATGACATGAGATTTTAGTATCTCTTTCAATCAGGCAAATGGAACTTTGGTATAATTTTTCATTGGAGGCTCCCTGAGGAAAAGCACTCATCTTCTGTGTCAAATTATATTCTGCTGGCTTTCTTACACAATGACTGTTGGAAGATTCAATTTGGGAAGGGAAGATTAATCACATTATTACCTAATTATGTTCCCAAGCAATATCTATGTACTTAAATTGCTACTGTTGCCTAGCTGAGATAAGTTCATTCAAACCACTTTGTTATCGAATGATGCCATGCAAAATTTAAGTTGCTGTTGTTTCAATTGTTTTTAAAAGAATGCTCTCCAATGCCTAACTACGTTATGGCTGCTGAACAATGCTGGTGATGCAGGACCACTCCATTCTTCTGAGTAGCTATGCCATGATATTAAACTGCTAACTAACGTTGCCATTGTACGAAGTCTATGCCACACTAATGTAAAGTATGAAGTATAACTGGGGCATGTTCTATACCAACTTGATTTTTTGACAATGCAATTTTTCAGTGAAGAAACAATTCACTTAATCAATTGTAAGGAACGTCTGGGATGTAACTGATCTGTGTCAATAATGCAAAATGAGCAATCACAAATAAGCAGTCCATCTTAAATTTTGCACCATTGTCTCTTACATTGATAATCAACAGAAGAGGAACTAGTGGGTTGAAAATAGCATGTTATTGGCTGAGGAAGGGTTACTAGACCTAAAACATTAACTCTGATTTCTCTCCAGACCTGCTGAGCCTTTCCAGCAATTTTTGTTTGTTTAATTGGCTGTTTTGTGTAACTGGTAAAGACTAATTTACCCTTCCCTATCCCCACTGAACTTTAGTAATTAAGGCTCTACTTCAATGGTCAGTTTCAGAAACAAATTATTGTGACTTTTTTTCCAGTCAATGTACTTCTCCCTTCCTTTCTATAGTAAGTACATTCCAGACACTCAAGTCATCCTCTGCTCTGTAAAGAAAAAGTGGTCATTTAACAAGTTTTAATTGCAGGCTGAGAAAGGGATAACATAACTGTGCTGGATCCTGTCAAACCCTTTTTGAGAGGAGCTAATCTAAATCTGGAGTGATTACAGTGATAGTTTTGTCTCTCCTCAGCAATGGGCTATACAAGCACATTGTTACTGAATGATGTAAAATAAAATGTCACTGTTGTTTTAACTTTGAAAAGAATATTTTTCCATGCCTGTAATTATATTACAGTGCTGAGCAACAATGATGATACTTGACCACTCCTTTCTTCTGGGTAGCTACACAAATGAATCCTAACCTGCAGACTAACACGAGTACTGTACTGGGTACATCATCTTTGCTTCTATTTGAGATCAGCACAGAATGGCAATAGAACTTTGCACTTTGGTGCAAAATTCAACTGATCCCTTCTCAAATTCGTCCATTATCAAAGCAAACCCAAATCAAATTGAATGTTGCTAAGCCAGGAGTTAGACTGGCGCTACGTGCTAGCAATAGTTTAACTACTGCACGAATGTCAACAGAAACTATACAAGAAAACACATATGGTTTTACCGCCAATCCATTTTCCAGCCTCACCTAATAAACACGTCGTATTAATTGTACATTTTGCTGAAGTCGGAATAAAGCGCAGCCTTAAAGCTTTAGAAAAGCTGGCGAGGGGCAGAGACTTATCGGGACGGTCATTACCTAGTAGAGTACATACCAACCATTAAGCAAATCATTGCATCATACTAAAACACAGACGTTAAATAAATGTAACATCTTGATTCACGCACAGATTAAGCATCGCGTATTCACTTAAAAAAAAACCCTTCCCTCCAGGTGATCTAGTATGTTCGGAGTTAACGATGATGTGGATGGAAGTTTCAATCAATTTCAAAGCTCCGTACCAATGATTGAAGTTTAAAGGTCTCACTCACCCCGAGATTGCGGAGAGTTTCTGATGTGCGTTCTGGGCCATCTCACAACCTTTAGTCCGTGTCCTCTGCAGTTCAGCTCGCAGGGAGGGAGAGTCCACCGAGGCGTCCCCAATGGAAATGACCAGTTCACGGTATAGGGCCACCTGTGTGTTGAAGTCTTGCACCAGCTGAAAAGAAACTCTGACGGTCACCGTAAAATAGAGATACAGGTCGGTTCAAAGAAAGCTAAAGGTGCGGTGGGATGCGGGTCAGAAAATGAAAGAGCAGGATTTGAGATTTAGAGGGAAGATGAAAGGAAATTGAAGGTCAATGGAAGGCCAGCCATATTTGTCGGCTATTAAACAGACACACATTACTCACAATATATCACATAGTCATTTTATCACCACACCAGTAACATTCTCCTATCATGGCGCAGAATGTTTTAAAATGTTATGCTACCGGTTATACCTGTCCCGCTTCCATCTGAGCCGCGGATCAGTGCAACCCTGCAAATAAACCCCAATCGAGAGATCAGTAATTCTTGGAAAAGGACAACATGCTCATACTTTTTAAGGAGTACTATGCTATCCTCTACTCCGATCTAACACTTTTGTTTTCCCGGACACGCAGGCTGTGTCTAGTTCGGCGGAGTGGGGGACTTATCTCTTCTTGACACGGAAACTTCACTTAGTGTTCGGTAAAGCGCTTCAACATGCAGTGAACTCACATGCAGCAGAACAGATAAGCCGTGCCATAAATAGACGCGTCAGAACCAGGCTGAATTTCAGTCATCACTCAGGCCGATGCTCCACATTAACAAATACGGTTGTGCAGTTGCACGTGATCGGAATTGGAAGGTGGGCAGGGTGGATTTTTTTTGTTTTGGGAGTTCGCACTTACCATCTTACACTCCTCGAGTGCCCGGAAGGGTTTAGCAGCGATCTCCGAGCTGCCTGTCCTCCCCGCTTCCCTCTCCTGCTCCTTGCCGAGCTGCACGATGGAGCCAGGCGACTTGCGGCGGGGTTTGCGCCCATTCACTGCAGAACTCATGCATACACATCCAAGATCGGCTGCTCTTTGCTTGGGGAGGGGAGTGAGACGTGTGCGATGAAGCGCGCGCTCCAGGAAACGAATACAACCTCAAAACAGAAAAAAAATTAGATGTTTTGTTTTTTTACTCCTCCTCCCCTACATAACCTTGAGCCTGCAAAGCGGGCGCTGGCCGGCCTCTTTCAACATGCTTCAAAGTCCCCGCTATTTAAGAAGAGCTGAAATCTCCCAATGTCACCATGCTCTTCGCTGCTTAGGGTGGGGATTTCATCGGGAAGATGCTCACATCTGGAAGATTTAGGGGTTTCCATTAAGAATCTGTCGGCTCCAGAAATCCTACAACGGAACGATCTCGCCTTTAGTTCTCCCGGGGGCGAGGGAGATCACAACTGTTTTTTTAAAATTTTCACTTCAGGAAACAAAATTAAAGATTCCCGGTGGGTAGTAAGTGACCGCGGTCGTTTGCTCGAATCTTATACCTTCCCAATGATTTTTTTGCGGCTGTAACCTTCTGGAAACGCGAGGCGCAGGAATCAGGCAGACTGACGTGAATAGCGACACAACACATTGATAGGACAGGAATACTAATGTGAGCCGAATAGCTGGAGCTTGCTAGTTAAGACTCTTAGCTAAGGAAATGTGAAACGGCGCACGCAATGCAACTATCGACACGGTGTTTTAACAGTGAAATGTTCAGCCGTTAAAAAGAGAAGTGACACAGCTTTGAAACAAATCAATCTCATTGACAACTGGCATTCCGCACCGGGCATAAGATCACTCCAACAAATCAATCGGTCTCCCCAGATATTTCCATCATGTTCATCGGTAGTCCAGGAGCTGTTTTGGGTAAGCTACGAAACCTCGTCATTTCCATACAACTCAACAGCAAACAACTGAAAATGGTACCTCATCTCAGTTCTCCGCGGGGTAATTTTGTAAAGCAATTCTGTTCGAGTTACTGTGTGAAACCTATTTCGACACGAACCACGGTAAAAATCCAGATTTTTTACTTCTGAAATGTTTCAGTATCAATAACAATAAATGTATTTAAGGCAGTAGAAATACGAGTAGAAAATACTGCTGCTGGTGATGTTACGGTGCAAATGCTCAAAGCACTGTTTAAATTTCTCCCAGGGGCGTTCATGTATGTCTTCGAAGTTTGGTGGGTATCTGCTGCGCCTTGATACAATAACATCGGGACAGAAATTACATTCTTATCATAACATGTCTGGAGAAACTTCTCAAACCTAGATTCAGTTGACAACCGGTGAAATATTATTCCCTTCTGAAGTGGGAAACACAAAGATAAGACGACAATAGCTAAAACTGAAGTTGAGAGAGATCGATGCTGGAGAGATGTCCGAATAGTTTCACAACCTCTAGAAATACAAAGTAATGCAGGGAAAATGCTAACTGAGGAGAAAATTTAAGGAACAAGAAGGAAATCAAGCCACAGAGACAGAGGACATAGCGGTGGATTGAATGGACATTTTACCTTGACCTTTATCAAGGCAAAAGAAGCTGTGAGTCAGAGTGAAAGAGAAGATAGTCGATATTCGATGGTCTAACCATCGACAAAAGGGTAATGTTAGCAAGGTTAAAGTTGATTAAGTCGCCAGGACCGAATGAGATGCATCTGAACATATTGAAGAAATAATGGTGGAAATTAAACTGTTGGCTTCGTTTCTGATGAATCACGTGATTAAAAATTGTTTATAATTTTAAAAATGACCAAAAAATTCAAAATCTTCCAAATTTTCCCAGACAGTCCTTATATGTTCACAAAACCTAGTACCAAAATAACTACACCTTTTGAAATGGGCTCACCATCACCCGCAGAGATTGTAACAAGAAAGCAAGTTAGAACTATCCTGCCAAATCATAACCAGTGCAGGTTTACAGCGATACCGGAACAATTTCTCAAAAAAAAAGAAAGAATGCAGATGATACATGACTGACATTAGGTGCAGAACTACCTAATCTGTGTGTAGGACAGAAGGTCAGAGTCATATTTCTACACAGGGAATATGATGATGGCAGAAATAACTAAAATGTGAAGCTTACAAAGTCACAATATCAGATAGAACAGCATTGAGGGATAACAATAGCTAACTCAGGACCGTACAATATTATAACCGCGCATAAAAAAATACATCCAACACGAAAATTGGATAATGAATGTGTGAAAGCACATCAAGGCAACAATCAATTTGCTGACAATATACAAGATTCCAAAGCACCTACCAGTTAGGATCACTCTAAATGCAACGTCTAAATCTCAGGAAAGGTACACTATCACAAGGTCTGAATGGATTGTAAACCACTTATATGTTACAGCAATTCTTAGGCTCAAACTTTTCAATGTTTTAATTATAGTTTTTAAATAAATATTTTTACAACAACCCTCATGTATATGTGTTTTCTCTCAGTGCATGTAATTTTAACTTGGTATATGAATATATTACTATTTCTTGAACAGCTGGATATGCTAATAAACCAAGGACCCGGATGTAACCACATGACTAACTGCCATATGTTCTCCTGTTCAAACATGTCAGAAAGAGCATGTACAATTATTTGTAAAGACAGGCCATAAATAAATCTATATGACATTGTCAAGCAATTTGAATACGCATTACTACGCTACTGACCGATAACAAAAGAAATACTAAGACACATTTTTGACTCTATATGTAGTTTTCATCAAACGTGAATTAATATGTTTCCATTAATTTACATTTCATAGCCTGTAATGCGCTTGCTGGCATTGAATTTGCTTCTTCGCATTGATCGGATTTAGTTTGATTAACGAAAAAGTTGAAAGAAATGTTTATTTTGTAACTAACTGAACCATCATCTACAACTCACATCAACAAAAGATGCCATTTTTCCAAAGTCACGTGCAGCACAAGAACCAGCCTCTCTGACATATGGATAGGTTCCACGTTGCCACCGCGACGGCTTGGCTTTGTGATTACGACATCACAATGAGGTTGCTGGCCGGCACGTGAATAGGTTCTACGTTGCTATTGCGACGGTCCAGCTGGCGGTTGGTGCTCGTGGTTGTTCAAATCAAAGATGGCGGCGTCGACTGTGAGCGCAGTCGAGGTATCGCCTGAAGGAGCGGCTCCGCTGCTCACGATTCTTCACTTTAATGATGTTTACGAGATCCAGCCGCGTTCAGAGGAGCCTGTGGGAGGCGCGTCCAGGTTACAATCATTCTTTTTACACAATTGCATGGTGCATTAAAACAATGTTGTCTAAATATCCAAGAGCAGTTGTCTGTGAGAGTTACGCATGGTTGGGAGTTGATCGAAGAAAGGGGAACACACTATTCTCCATTTTGCCATAGATCTAAAATGCTTGTATGACTGACAAAAAACTCAACAATATTAAAATAATATTGATTCTTCAGTTTCATTTTAACTGGGCAAAGTTAGTGACAAACAGTAGTTACGAATCGTTGGTCTTACACCGATGTTTGTAACCAGAGTACACGGATTTAACGTCAATGGCAAAAGAACCTGGGGAAATGTTTAATGAGATGGTATGGTCACCATTGAGAGATAGTAAGAACTGCAAATGTTGGAGTCAAAGGTAACACAGTGTGGAGCTGGAGGAACACAGATGGCCAGGCAGCATCAGAGGAGCAGGAAAGTTGACGTTTCGGGTTGGGATCCTTCTTCAGAAAATTTCTGAAGGGTCCCGACCCGAAACGTCAACTTTCCTGCTCCTCTGATGCTGCCTGGCCATCTGTGTTCCTCCAGCCCCACACTGTGTTATCTTATGGTCAACATTACCTTGCCTGAAACGGTATGACAGTATACAGTGGTAAATTTCTAGAGACCTGAATATATATTTGAAATTAAGATTTTCTGAACTGCTGTTAAAGCTGGGAACCGCTATCAATATTCCTGATGTTCCCTCACAGTCAAGAATCCCTTCTATATCGGTTCCAGATATCATCTGTTTCCTCAACATGTTTGCAGATAACACTTTCCACTACTTAAATTTAATTTAATTTAATTTTCCACTAGACTTTAATTTTTGGCGACTCCCTCTCTCTGTTTTCTTTGGTATTCATCCCTAGGACTCTACTTGCTGGATGCCACAATGACAAACCCATATTGACATCAGGATCACTGTTGCTTCTGAAGTATGAAACATCCTCCCAATCCTAGCATGTACCAGGGGCTTGGTGTTCCTGTTTACACTGTCAGATGTTCTGCTGCTATTGCTAATGTTTTCAGACATTTGTCTCTGCCCTACCACAAATTTAGTACTCTGCTTCTCGTTGACATCTAACACTATGATTACTCATAAGTTATGTGGTTCCAGAGTTTCCTAATATTCCTTCTTCAGTAATCAGGGCTGCAATATGTACTATCTACAAGATGTATTGCAGCAATTTGCATAGAGCATAAAAGCACCACTCAAATCCATGATCCCTGCTACTTAGAAGGTAGGCAGATGTATTGGAATATGACCACCTCCTGCTTTGGAAATATATCACTGTTACTGATCAAATTCCTCAAATTTGCTATCTGACAGTAGTATGGTATACTTAGAACTTTCGCAGCACAAAAATTGAAGAAGATGGCTTTCCGTTGAGGCCTTGCCAACAATGCAAACTACATGCCATGAGCAAATAGAAGAAAATATTAACTTGGGGAAATAATGACCAGACACAGTTGCATTCAGTGCAGTGATATAAAAAGACAACCAGGAGGCAAAGATAAACAAGTGAGGGTGCTTGTTAATGATTTAAAGTTATTGAATTTAAGATGCTGAACATATGTGTTGTAGAGAAGTTTATCGCATAGACTGAACTTTCAATATGGCTTCAAATGTTACCAAGTGTGTTCTGCTAGCAGAAGATATAACACTGGATTACTTGAAATCTTTGAATAATGCTAAACTGAAAGAAGTAGCAGATAAATTGAAAGTCGAATTCAAAACAGATCTGGTAAAGAGGAGATGCTGAAAAGTAGTTATACAATGTTTATAACAGGAAAAGTGAAACCTGAAATTTGAACTCTGTGGAATATCAGTTTTCTTGGTGTTTGAAGGGTTTCAACTTTTTAAGTATTTATGCAGCCATGGTAATTTCTTTTAAAACAGTGTGGGAGAAAGACTTCCTGACAGTAATGGGATAGTAAGAACTGCCGATGCTGGAGTCGGAGATAACACAGTGT